TAGATCACATTTTGGTTGGCGCTATGTTCAACTTGATACATCATAATTCACTTTATGCATTCACTCAACTTACACATGCAAAACTGATATAATAATTACAAAAAAAGGGGGAAAAAAAGGAAAAAAGGAAATATAAAAACATTCTCTGGTTAAAAGTATGTAGAAAACACGAACTTTCGAAAGTTTGTGTTTGTTATATATCTTTAGCCAGAGAACGTTTTCATGTTTCACCATGTCAGGTCATCCTCACTGTGGTCCTGCCATATTTTTTTCAAAATTGAATTAAGTAATAATGCCAATTCTTAAAGCAATCGAATAACAATGTGCAACATTTAGAAACACTTGCATAGCTCCAGTCACACAAATGGTTGTGAATGTAGCTTTTTCAACGTACTATGTCTCTCGTTTAATATTCAANAGTCTCTGTCACGAAAGGCGAAGAGCTCAAGAAACTTTTGGAATGCCCAAAGGGAAATTGCCATACCGACCGTTGGTCTGAAAAATGAAATGGTATTACTGGGATTTTAATACACTCAAAAACAATAAACCAATATCTTTCTGTCTTTCTGGATGTAAAGTAAGATATATGGGTTATGGATCAAGCGTGAGGTCGAGATGGCTGGATATTGGCCAAGCTCTTTTTTGCGTGTTTATGGACCGACATAGAGTCGCGATCCATAAACAAGCAAAAAAGGCCAACATCCAGCAATCTTCACCGATTAAGCTTGGTCAATAAAGGACTTATTATATGGAAAAAGAACATTATTTATTTATTTATTTATTTTGCGGGAAAACAGCGGGTAATCCCCAGCGGGCACCATTTTGCACGTTCACGGAGCTAGAACAATAATGGGAGTTATGGATGAAAACGTTGTACGGTCAGGATTAACCTTTGTTGTAAGTCCTGGTTCAGATCGCCTTTATAGTTAAACAATTTGTCTTCACTGGTGTCTATTTTACCGATTTTTCAATTTAATTATATTATTTGACATTTTTTTTCTGAAAAGACCAGTGATCAACTGACTCTCAAATAACTGACAGGCTGACTGACTGAATGAATGAATAAACTTCTGTCTGTCTGTCTGTATGTATGTATGTATGTCTTTCTGTCTGTCTGTCTGTCTGACTCACTGACTGACTCACTGACTGACTAGCTAGCTAGCTGACTTGCTGACTGACGAACTGACTGACTGTCTGTCTGTCTGTCTGACTGACTGACTGACTGATCGATTTCGATCGATAGATGGGGATGTTGAGTTAGTGTTGTATTAATCTTTTTCCTAACTGTTTCTAAATTGTAACCTAAGTACAATATATCAAAATAATATCAAGGTAAAACTTACAGCATCGCTA